GCAATTGAAGAAAACCTCGGAGAGGAATTATTGAGAAGAGTTCAAGGAATGGAAGAAAAAGTGGAGCAAGTTGAGCAAAGAGCGACCAAGGCGGATCAGAAAGTGGACCAGCTTGAGCAAAGGGCGACCAAGACGGATCAGAAAGTGGACCAACTTGAGCAAAGGGCGACCAAGACGGATCAGAAAGTGAACCAAATGGGGCAAAGTCTTAGTGACAGAATGAACCAATTAGAACTTAGAGTGGAGAGTGAGGAACCAGGTAAGTCTTACAGAGATTACAGAGGGTGAATGTGATTCTGTCTCAGGCTTGATCGGGAAGGGGTGAGAGAGTCTAGAGATACGAACATAAATGGGTACAACCCCCCCGTCCCCCCGTTACCTCCTACAGCTCAGGTTTAAAATCCAACCCCTAGTTGTTGTTTTGAAATGTTTAAAAAAAAAATCAATAATTTTATTAATGAAGCGATTATACAACGATACATTTAAAGCTTGAACATCCCCCCCAGACAACCTTTGAAGTGGCAAGTCTTTCCAGTGGAATACAAGTGTTAGATACTCGCTAGGTATGAGGTGTTTGCAAGCGAATGGCTCAGAAGAAGAGGTCGACAAGATCTAGGTTTTAAGGTTTAGTCAATGTGTAGATAGTCACGGTTGCTGATTTTCCCTCTAACAAAAGAATTGGCCATCAACTCCGGTTCTTGATAAGGGCATTTAAACTTAATTTTGGCCCTGGGTTACGGGGCTTATTTTTTTTTTGGGAGAGGGGGGGGGGTGGTGTTGAGGCTTCAAATTCACAGACGCAGATTCTGTTTAAGTTCAGTGCTGTGGAGACTTGCTGATCTACAGGGTTTTCATTCTGTGCTTTTGGGAGAGGGTAAAAAACGGAATAAAACAATAGTAAACATTGGTAATTTTTTCACCATCGGCAAGGGGGTCTTACACGCTCTGTAATTGAAACATTTATCTTTTACTGAAATTTTATTTTCTGGTTAAAACATTGAAGGAAACATGTTTTGGCTAACTCGAAAGATTAGTGTTCACCACAGGCTGCGTTTGGGTACGAAATTGGTGAGCAGACAAAACTGAAACTGATGTCTCCTGGACTGAGAGATGTCTTCTTAAATCTTGTCTGAAGTCATTTTTTAGTTGTAATATCCATATGGGCCCTAAGAAAAATAAGTGATTATGGTTGTAATGGAAACTTTAAACGTTAACTCCCGCCGCCGTTAATAGACGGCATCAATATTTGTTTCCAGTGTCTTTCCTGGAGCCTCTGTCGCCCTCATGCAGCAGAACGCTCGCTGGTCAAAGGCGTCAGAACTCTGGAGGTTGGTTTTGATTCATTCTGTGAGCTTTACCAGTGCAAATCAAAATAGAAAGAAATTAAAAGGGCGGAAACAAAAAGAAACGCGAAGTTGACGCAGTGATTCAATGAAGCTCGATATTTCGTTAAAAGCAATACTTTCTCAGTAATCAGAACATTATTACCAACACCAACTTTATAACAAGCGAATGCCGTGTTTTAGAATAAGTTACTGTAAATTTACTTGTTACTCTAAGTTTAATGAGCTTTAAAACTTGAACCTATTGTTATAGGGGTTTTCTTAATGTCTATGAAGCCATGTGAACTTTTAAAATTAACTTTGATTTAAAATTTTTTTGTATGTTCGTTTGAATAAATGATTCATACGATAGACTTAGCCACTAACTGCTGCCAGCCAATTATAATGTTAAAAAAGTTTTAATGAAAATGTCAACCATTTCCTTTGTTTTCTCCCAACAGAAGTTCTTCCTTTTGATATGCAGATTTGTTGGTTTAAACTTGCAGAGCATTACAAAAGAACTGCCACGGTGCCAACCTCTGTGTGGTCCAAAAAATGTGCCGTGAACATTCACCAGATCTACACTCGACTGTCCTGGGTGAAAGAGGAACAAACCCCAGCTGGGTCATCACTGGCTGAGCTGAATCACTACACTGATATGTTCACTGAAAATAAGAAGGGATTGCCGTCAAATAGGATACTCGCGGAAAGGCAGACCGGAATTGGGAAGAGCACGTTTGTGAAGAAACTGGCTATGGACTGGATTGAACTTGACGAAAACCGGTTGACAGATGAACAGAGAGCTATCCTGAAGAAGTTCGAGCTTGCTGTTGTTATTGATCTTAAAAACGTATTCAAACACCAAAGCCTCAGAGATGCCATAAGCGCCTCTCATGTTTTTGCTGAGGAGGACACAGTCATGAAAGACGGCCTACTGGGTTATATCACCCAAAACCAAGACAAAGTTCTCCTGGTTTTTGATGGATACGACGAGTATCATTACGCACGGAACTCTGAATTATTTGAGATTTTCCGAGGAAATAAACTGAGGAACTGTTGTGTGTTGATAACAACTCGAATTTCCAAAGCTGACGAGCTGGTAGAATTTCAGGACGTGCATGCTGCGATCACTGGTTTCAGTGAAGAGGACAGAAAGGCCTTTATGATCAGAATGCTTG